TAAATTTCAGCATTATGCATATTGGAGCTGCTTAGTAGGACTGCTCCAAGATCTTTGGCAGTCATTTGGCAAAGTTATATTTCTACCAAAAGCAGAATTTCATTCTACGATGGATTAAGATTTATAGGGATGTTGGGTATTTATGGATAATCAACTAAAAATAATCAAAACTTGTTTCTACATTGTATGAAAAAGAATAAACAAATTTAAGGAGATAGCAGGATTTTCTTATTTTTCATGAAAACAATATAATAGTTCTAAAATTGTGGAAGCAAATAAACCAAATTATTTACAGTGGCTACATAAGGATGGAGAGATTAAATCTTATTTCTGAAATTTCCACAATATGTATAAGTGACTTGTACAATGAAAATATATAAAATTATCATTAAACTGAGTTAATATGAGAAGAAAATCCATTTTATCATCATCCTAGGACTATGAATAAAAATATGAATCCCCACTATTTTTATTTCTAAAAAAGGTTGAGAATGTTCTTCTTGGAGTCACATGACGATCATCTTAAATGACATTAAACTAGGCCTCAAATCTTCACCCAAATGCAAATGGTAGAGATTGGCAGATAAATCACGGAATGAGGGGAAAGAAATTTTTAGGCTTATTTTTAGAACCGTTTAAAAGGCTAAAATGTCAGATTGTGTCAGGATTCAGTTTCCAGGTTTCAGAGGGTCTCACACAAAGAACATGAAAAATAAACACCCCAAAAAGAAAGAAAGAAAGAAACTTTGTGCAGGTACTAAAAAAAAAAAAAAAAAAAAAAAAAAAAAGAATAAACACCAGATATTTGTGAGGGTATCATGTGCAAAAGCACTGGGGTTCAAAGGTCCATGTTATCAGAAGCTCAGGATCCATGCATGCTAAGAGCCATCCTCCTGTGCCCTGGACTGTGTACCAGTAAGACATAAATGTATAGCCAGCCTCTCCACCAACCACAGCCTGGTTGTGTTTTTTTTCTCACTTCCCACGTCCGATTAGCTACACGGCCAGGGAGCCATCATTTTGTCACAGCAGAGTGCTTGCATCTTCACTCCCATGCCTGTGCCTTCCTTCACTCTCTGGTATTGCAGTGGTCTCCTTGCAGGGCTGTGTGGGGTGCACCCCCTTGCAATTCCCCTCCATGACGGAGCCTGAGTGCTGATTCTAAAATGCCAATCTGGGGGTGTCTGCCTGGCTTAGTAGGTAGAGCATGCAACTCTTGATCTTGGGGTTGTGAGTTCAAGCCCCACCTTGGGTGTAGAGACTACTTGAAACAATTTAAAAAAATCTTTAAAATTGTTCACTGTCTGCTTTACATCTTTTAGTGATTGTCCATCATGTTCTGGCCTCTTCCAAACAAATCCTTCTACCTTGAGTTAGCCTATTTTTAGCATCCCCAATCTAGAACCTTCTCCCCTCTATAGTCTAGCTAACAACTGCAGCAAGTCTTTCAAAACCTGGGTCTAGTGCTTTCCTCTCTCTGCAAGTCTTCGGAGGCTTCCCATTCTGATTGCAAAGCCTTCCTCTGCTCCCAAATCACCCCCTGCAGGTTCCTACCATGGCATGAACCATACTATATTGTCATTGTCCATTCATGTCTCCAATCAACAGGCTACCAGGCGTAAGCAACCTGAAGGCAGGTGCTTCCTCAGCCTTGCTTCTCCAGGGTCTAAATCATTCTTGCACATGGCACTTGGCACAGTTCTAAGCAGTTTATAAATATTAACTCATACGCTCTTCATAATATCACATGGTTATTAGAAGAACATATAAACATTTGTTCAACAAATGCATATTGAGTGTCTAGCAGGTGCCAGATCCAATTTTAGGCACTGCGGATTCAGAAGTGAACAAGACACACAGACTCCTGATCTCCATGAGTTTATAATCTGTTGAGGCACACGGATGATAAACAGATAAACAGGTATATATTATGTGTGGGGCAGTGAGAGGAGATATAAAGAAAAATAAATCTAGACAAAGGAATGAAATGTGACAATGATGTCACTGTAGCCAGGATGGTTGGGCAAGGCAATCTGAGGAGGGGATATGGGAGCAGAGACCTGAGGAAAGGGGGGAGAGTGAGCCATGTAGATATGTCGGGGTAGAAGGGGTGCATGCGGAGGAAACAGCAAGTGCAAAGGTCCTGAGACACAAATAGGTTCTGAGGACACTGTGCTGGAATGCAGGCAGTGGGGTGGAGAGCTTTAGGTGAAGAGGTGTCCAAGGCAGGGGGTTAGCTCAGGCAGAGCTTTTCAGGCCATCCTGAGGCCATTGGGGTTTATTCACTGGTAGGTGTCAAGCCTGGGGGGACACGTTAGGACTTATCTTTTAAAGGTTCTCTCTGTCTGGGACACCTAGGCTGTACTGTTGGTTCAGCATCTAACTCTTGGTTTTGGCTCAGGTCCTGATCTCATGGTTGTGAGATCAAGCCCCATGTTGGGCTCTGCTCTCGGTGTGGTGTCTGCGTGAGATTCTCTCTGCCTTTCCTGCTAGTGCTTGCTCTCTGTCAAATAAATATTTTAATATTTTAAATACTAGAAATTAGATTAAGTTAGATTTTAATATCTATTATTGTAAATATTAAAAAAAATAAACGTTCACCCTGGCTGCTGTGTGGACTGCAAGGGAAGCAGTAAGTGTGCAAGGAGTCTGACCAGTGCAGAGGTGAATGTTGTGGTCAGGCGGTGAGGATGGTGACCCTGAGTTCCCAGCACGCAGGGAAGCTGTCAGACTCTCGATGCATTTTGCAAGCTGAGCAGATAGGGCCTGCTGATGGTCCACTATGGAGCGTATGTGAGAGAGGAGCCCTGGATGCCTCCACAGTTTTTGGCCTGGTGGGCTGGCAGTGCCATTTGTTGAGATGGGAATGACTGGGGGGAAAATGGTTTGGGGGGAAAGGTTGGAAATGAAGCCTTTTCTTTTAGATCTATACGTTTGAGTTGCTACCAGGATTTAGTTTTGTCTTCTATGAAATGGGGATGATGTTTGTTTTATGCATTCAATGAGAATCAAATGTCATCATTTTCTTTTGCTATTATACAGATTTATTTTATTTTATACACAGTTTATTTAAAAATAAACACAGGTTTATTTTTACTTACATAGAAGCCAAGAGTAGAGTTCCTTTAAAAGAACACAGACCAGCTACCTCTTCCTGGCTAGATATTACTGCCCTCGTATAATGGGCTCTCATATCAAGAACCGATGTTGGTAACACACCTTCTCCATATTTATTTAATATTTATCTGGAGCTTACTATGTGCCAGACGCTATGCTAAGGACCTTAGAGAAATAGTCAATACAGTCTTCCAAAAGCCTTTGTATATGCCATTATTACCCTGACCTAGCAGATAGAACGGTGGCCCCCAAAGGGGAAGTAATTTGCTTAAGGTCCCACAGCTAGTGAACGACAGAGAAGAGAGTGAACTCTGGGTACTCTGGCTTTGGTTCTAACCCCAATGCCAAGTGCCACATCCCCAGCTCCAAATGAGCGGCTGCCATGGCTGACATGTGGCCTGCCCTCTTGTGCAGCAGGATGGTGCCTCGCGTCTGACACCACTGCCTGGACCCCTTGCCCCTGTAGGCGTTCCTGCCTCGGTTCTTAACAAAAACATCTGCTCAAAAGAAGCCTGTCAGTACAGATGGCAATACTCCTTTTGTCTCAGACCTTCCCAGGCTGCTGGCAGCCACTCAGAGCACTCAGTGTCCTCCGTGCTTTTCTTCTAACGCCCTGAGGTCAGCCACCTCCCCCCATTGCAACACACGAGCCTCTTTGGTATACTGCTCTCTCCACGTGCCGCCTCATTGGCAGTTGTTACAAGCGGCTTTAAATGCTTGCAGATAACACGTTTTCCACTCCCGTGTTGAAGCAGACCATGTGCCACGGTGAGCTGAGTGAAGACAAGAGAGGAAAATGCCCGGACCCCTGACCTCTCAAGAGACTTTGAGCCGGAAGCCAAGTCCCGTATCTTTCAGCTTTGGGTCCAGCATCCCGGCACTAAGCGGGCACAAAGTGGACATTTGGTGAATATTCATTTATTTAGCAAATGTTTATTGAGGGTTTACGACCTACCCGCCGGGTATGTGCCCAGGCAGGAGCAGAGGGTGGGGGTGGGGGTGGAGGCTAGGGAATGGGCGGGGGGCGGTGTAGGGTGGCAAGCGGCGAAAGAAGCCAAAGTCAGAGGTCGAGTGACCTGGCGCAGTTTCTTCTGGCCAGGGCGTCCTCTCCGTCTCAAAACCCAGACGTGCACACACGTGCCGCAGCCGCTTGGGGACCCCACACCTAGCGTCTGCTCAGGCGCTGGCCTCGCGGGGAAGGCAGAGTCTATTCAGAAGGCGACCGGCCGGTGCTCCCACTGCGGGAGGGGTGGCACAGGACTGGAGCAAGTTCGCTTGGAGAGAGAACTCTCCAGCTCACCGCCCAAACTCTGGAGCCATGCCTGGATTCCAAAGTCAGGCCAGCGGCTTACCTATCGTGTGACCTTGTGCAAGTCACTTACCTTTCCCGGGACTCAACTGCATCATCAGGTAAAGGTGTTGCACCAATAACCTTAAGGTTGGTGCAAGGATTAAGAGGGAGTGCCTGGAAAGCGTCCCTACAGTGGTTCTCTGCGCGTAGGAAAGGCTCCCTTTCCGCTGCGCACACCTCGGTGCCCGCCCCACCCCCCGACTCCCCCGGGACGAGTCGCCCACTGCCAGCTTCCCAGGGACTGACGACCCGCCCGAAAGGGCGCGCCGGGCCCTGATGGATTTATTGGCCTGCTTGGGGCGGGGTCTGGGAAGAGGCGAGGGAGGGAAGGAGGAGGTGAGGGCGAAGAAAGGGAAGCCTCCGAGGGACCGCGGGCGCTCGGGGCGGGGCGGGGGGAGGAGCCGGGCTGGGTTCCTGGGCCCCGCGCGGCGCGCACCCGGAGCCCGCGGCGGCGGGGCGGGGGCGGCGCGCGGCGGCCAATGGCGCGCGGCGCTGCGGCGGGGGCGGTGCGGCACCACCCCGGCTGCTGACAGCCAAACTCCCCAACTCCGCCCTCGTCCCCGCGGGATCCCGGAGCCCGAGCCGGCCTGGGGCCGAGGCCGCCCGAGCCGCGCGGTGAGCGAACATGGCAGCAGAATGAGGAGGCTGGCGCCGGGTCGTGGCCGCCCGCGCCGCGCTGCAGCTCGAGATCCGCGCCCGGCGCCCTCCGAGCCGCGTGCTTAGCCGGCCTCCTGGCGGCCGCTGGATTATTTCATTCCGAGCCGAGGGCGGGCGAGAAAAGGGACCCCGCAGCCGCGCGGGTCGGTGCTCGGGCAGGCTGTAGAGGCTCGTGGGTGCGAGTCGCCGGCTGCGGAAACCACGCGGGAGAGAGCGGGTCGCCGGAGCTGCGGAGGCACGGACGCGGGGATGAGCCGGCCATGGGGCGGCCGCGGCGGGGCTCGCAGAGCCGGCCGGCGCTGCGGCGGGGGTGCCGCCTGAGCCGGGGCTCCGCGGGGCTTCGGGGCCTCGGGCGCCCCGGGGGGATCCCTGCCGCCGCCCCCGGGAGGGACGAGAGCCCCGCGTGGCGGACACTGCAGCAGACGCCGTACTGAGGCGCCCCGAGCCTGCTCCGCCCGCAGCTCGGTGCGCTCTCGGCACCCGGGCGCCTTGCCGGGGGCACGGGCGGCTGGCGCACCGCGGAGAGCCCGGCGCAGGACTGGCTAGAGGGGTGTGTGTGAGCGCGTTGGATTGGAGATCTGAGCTAAGGCAGAACCCGGCGGACCAGAGCAGCCATGCTTCCCGGGGTGGGCGTGTTCGGCACCAGCCTCACGGCCCGTGTCATCATCCCGCTGCTGAAAGATGAGGGCTTCGCGGTGAAGGCGCTGTGGGGCCGCACGCAAGAGGAAGCGGAGGAGCTGGCCAAGGAGATGAGCGTCCCCTTCTACACCAGCCGCATTGACGAGGTGCTGCTGCATCAGGACGTGGACTTGGTGTGCATCAACCTGCCGCCGCCCCTCACCAGGCAGATCGCTGTCAAAACCCTGGGTGAGCGACCCCCTTCCCTCTCCCCTCCGGCTCCTTCCCTCCCCTGCTGCCTTTCTGCCCTCTCCCCCTCTGCATCCCAGAGGTATCTACGCCGGCCCGGGGACCTGAGATGCCACATGCCACTCGGAGCTCCCTCCTTCCTCATCCCCGGCCTTCCCTGCCTCTGAGCTTCTCTCCTCCCTTCTGGCACCACCTGGACGCGCCTTCCCACGTGCGTGGCGCGGAGGCTGGAGGAGGCGTGTGTTCCGGGGCTGGCGACGAGGCGGATCCGCTGCTGAGGACTGGGCAGGAGCCGCTCTCAGGAAGAGAAAACTAAGTCCTCAGCTGTGCCTGTAGTGCCCCGAGTGTGTGCGTGGGTGCGCGCCTGCGAGAGGCGAGTGCGCGGCCCAGGAACGCCCGATTAAGGGGCCCCACACGTGTGGCGGATATTCTTGGGGGCGGTGGACTACCTGATGGGTAGCCGCTGTGGCGCCCTGCTAGGCCGGTTTGCTTCTTACTGCTCTTAGTTTGGTGTGAGATTAGAATGTGACGTTCAACTGGGATGATTCCGCCTTCGCCGTAAGCGAGGATGGCGGGAGTGGTTGGATGGGGGGTGGGGGACGACTTCCAGGGGGGTCCTGGGTCCGTAACCAGGTTTGACAGAACCACCAGGGGGATTGAACTGTCGAGTGTGGCAGCTCGGGAATTGGGGATTGTCTTCCGCGTGGGTTTGAAATGATAGATCTTAAATTTTGGGGGGATGGGCGCACTAGTTGCGGAGGCAGGGATGTTTTGTGTGGGAAAAGGCCCAACGCAGCCAGTTTCACGTGGGAGCATGCTGTAGTCCCTCCTTAATAACCGTCGGGAAAGTTCCCAGGCCTGAGGTTGACAAGCAGGTTGGGAATGATTTCACCACCGCTCCCTCGCCATCCGGTCCCCCCACCAAACCCAAGCCGTCTGAACACTCAGGACTCAGGAGCTTCGGCGTCCATGCCCTGCCCAGAGGAAACAGGAGCGCATAGTTTGTCCGCCAGCAGTTCTTGTACGTACCTAAGACAGTCCCAGAAATACTGCTCACTCCTTACTCTCCCAGGAAAAGGAACACCCACCTTGAAAGCTGGAATTTTTATTGATGGGGAAAGAGACAGAGCTTATGGCACAGGACACAACGTTAAAGAAGAGTTACAGGGCACAAGCAGGGACAGTACTCAAGCCAATCAATGGTAATTTATGTCATCTTGGAAGGCATGTTTTATTTTTTTTTAAACTGGCATGAATTTAGGATAGGTGAAATGTACACATATGTTAATTCTATCTTCAGAGGTCTAGGACCAGAAGATAGAACTCTTTCTTCCTAGAAAACCACTTTTTATCAGGCCATTCTGCTCTTGACTCTAGCAGGGACTTCTGATAGAATTCCTAAGAGGCTGCCCAAGGCTGTCCGTTTGTTTTCATCTTAATTTCATTAAGTTTCTGACCTTTGTGGCTTATTTTCTTTGGTCTTGAATTGAATGGCATTGGGTTCTGACTTTCCTGTTTGATGTAATCTTATGTATTAGGTTGCTCACCTTTGTGCTTACAAGGGATCTGTGCATTATCAGATAGCTTATAACCATCCAAATAGCATAAATCTGTTAGAACACTTTGTATCCAACAGGTCTGTCCTAAGCTCTGTTTCTATATAGAGCTAATGACTGGTCATATCAGAAAGACCTTGTAACATTGCTTTTCCCCACTGTGGCAGCACAGTCCTGCAGGTCAGCACCCATAAGGCCTATCTCCAGGAGAGTGACCATTTGGAGAATAAGGTTGTTCCTATTTTCTGACCATCTCTTGTATTTCAGCCAAGAAAGCATCTGGGGGCTCTGGGTTGGAGAGAAGTGACACAAATAATACATTTCTGGATACTTCTGTTCTTATTTTCAAAAATTCCTATGACTTTCTTTTTCCTTGACAAGATTAACATGGGTTACCTCTCGAAAACCAAGCAAGAATCTTCAGAAATAGACCTAGTTTAATAATCATGACTAAAGACTAGGGTTTTGCTTATATTTTTGTAGGAAGTCTTGGGCTTTTTTTTTAAACCTGATTTTACAGGTAATTTGAGATAGTTTGTGATTATAGAGAATGGGGGGGGGCATTGAATTTAGGTGAGGCTGGGCTTTGTCTCATTCCCCAGTTGTCTTCACTGGAAAATGCCCAGAGGTCCCTCTCTTTCACATTATGTCTGTGAGTGTGCAGCTGGGGGTTCGTCTTGGTGTGCTCTGCTGTCATGGTTAGAGGTCCAGCACACACACACATACACAACACAGGAAGTGAAACACCCGAACAGTTACAGAGCTGGTTTGGCCGTTGGGGGGTTATAGATGGTGGTGTTTGCCTGGCATTGAAACAAGCCAGTGTTGACTGGCCCCGGTGAAGTGTCCTTTTGGCTAAAGCCTGGGCTTTGAGTTGCTTGTCCAGCGATGGCAAGTGGTCTGCGACCCTCCATCCATAGTCATGACAGGTCTCTGGTGTGTCAAGGTGAGGGACAATCTGGGGACCACGGAGGAATAACACTCAGAGTCAGTAGAATCATAGACATCCTCCTTGAATTTCTAAAAATTCCCGTGAGATCTGTCCTTTGGTGAACTAGGCATTTCTCTGTGGTAGAGACTTTCTGCAGTCCTTTTGTACAATTTTACCGCATGCCAGGCAATGTGGCCGGTGCCGTGTATAAAACATTCCCCTTCACTGTGAGAATGGGCCCCTAGTGTAGACGTTAGCCCCGTTTTACAAATGCGGCAAACTAGAATTCAGAGAGCTGAACGGCCTTGCTCAGGCGCAGACAGCTAGGGATTTGAGCCTGCCCTTCTGCCTCTTTTCTTCCTCTTCTATCCCCTAAACTTGCTTCTTGGCCTCAGTTTCTTCTGTCAGATCCAAGTAGCTTGGACGAGATCATTGGCGTTCTCCTTTGTTCCCGTTTACCCCACGCGTGGAATCTGTTCTCTCCTGACTCTGTTCCTTTTTCTCCATCATCGCTTCCTCCGTAGAAGGAACGAGACCCCTACCTAGGTCTCTGAGTGAGGTTCCCGTCTGCCCCTCCACACCGCCGCCTCCCTCCGTCTCCCACACCACTGCCAGCCTTTCCTTGAAGAACCGCAGGCTCGGTCGTGTCACTGTGCCCCCACTTTCATCGCTTCTAGGAAGAGTCTCAACTTCTTGGCTTGACTGGCAAGGGCTGGCCTGTGATGAGCCTTGCCCAGGCTTCTGTCCTGCTGGCGGTTCTGGAACCCTAATGGCTTCAGCTAAACCCAGAACTCCTGGTGTGTCCTCAAACGGACCCTGTTTGATTATAGGTCCATGCCTTTGTCTGGAACCTTCTGCCTTGTGTTTGTGATGGATGCCTGTCCATCCTGCAAGACTTGGCCCCAGGGTTGCCTCCTCCCTGAAGTCTCCCCCCTCACATACCCTGCTGGGCTCGCAGCACCAGTAGCTGCTCTCACCTTTTCTTGAACCTATTCTAGTGCATTTGGGTAAAATTTAAATTTCACTTAGTTATTTGGAATAGGTTCTATATCCACGTGTTACAAATGGTAAATACTATAAAAACGTACAGTGAGGGATAAGTGTCCCCCAGTCCCTGTTCTTCAACTAGAGGCAGTGCCAGGTTGTTCTGTTGTTGTTTTGTTTGCCTTTTTAATGTCAACCTTGGAAGGTTTTGCTAGGTATGTGTTAGCAAATAGGTGTCTGGGCGTTTTTTAAATCTTTTTGACACAGTTGGTAACATCTCATACACACTGTTATATAGCTTGATTTTGTTGTGCAACAGTATTATCTTGAGAAGAATTTATGTATTCGCTCACATACACATCTATATTCATGTAAAAAAACAGCATAGGGAAGTATCCATGTTATTTTTTTGCTGTGTAGTATTTCATTATGTGGATAAATCAAAATTGATTTAACCAGTTCCCTATTACTCAGCATTTAGGTTGTTCCCAGTGTTTTGCTTCTACAAATGAATAACCTAGAACCTATTTCCCTTTGCACACACACCAGTGTGCTTGTAGGGTAAATATGTGAGCTGCTGGTCAAAAAGTATGTGCTCATTTCCTTTAACAAAGATGTTGCCAAATGAACTGGCCCCTGAAGTGACACTGCTGTTTGTCGGTTTCCTCGCGTGCCTCGCCCTGCAAGCCCCTTGATTGCCCCGTGCCTGAAGGCAGCCAAGATGGGCTCACTCACCTTTGTTTCCAGTGCAGCACAGTTCCCGGCCAGCCTTGGGGGTGAGGGGTCAGTCAAATCCCATGTCTGATTTGTCCTCCAGCACCTAGACTGTGCAATGAGCCAAACCTGCTCGCTGCCTCCCTAGGTCCGCTCTTGTTCCTTATCCAGTCTAGTCTCTATACAGCAGGGTGAGTGGCATACAAACACGTATGTGGTTCTGTGTCCTTCCCTGTGCAGAAGCTGTCTATGGCTTCATGTTCTTGGTAGCGCTGTCGCTGTTAGTGATGACCTCTTTTCGTTTGTTTGCTTGTTCCCTTATTTGCTATTTCTCTCCCCAACTGGAAAGAAACTTCTTTGAATTAGGGCCTGTGTCTGCTTTGCTCACCAGGGTGGCCTTATCTCCCCTAGACAGTGCCAGGCGCTGAGTCACCCAGTAGGCACACTATAAATATTTGCTAAATGACGAATGAATGCCTTTCCAATGAATGAATGAATGAATGCTTGGGGAAAGCAAAAGATTATCAACAGAAGCCTCCCAGACATTTACACAGGGGCTCACCCCCTCCGCCCCCTGGGGAGTGACGGTGGGGCGGGGAGAGGGCTGGGGGGGCTGGGGTGGGGAGATCTTGTCAAAATGCTGATTCCAGGGTGGGACCCAGGGTTTAGAATTTCTGTCTAGCTCCCAGGTGATGTGCCTGCGGTGGCGGCCAGACACAGAGATGTGGTGGCTCTCCGCCTTTGAGAAAACAAGACCAACCCTGCTGTGAATAATTAACCTGGCTGGGGAACTGTGTTAAAATAATCCGTTGGCT